TGAAAGACAGTTTTGGCCATAGAGTAAATATTTCGAGAGGTGATTCGTTCCGGATAACCTATATCTGCCTTCAAAAGTGACGAAACAATAACAGTTTCCTGTCGTTCGGCAGCCATTTTGTATTTTCACACTTTACGAAGATTAATTACTACATAGCAAATAATATTTTAATGTAACTGCAAGTTTTGTTTTTCATAAACGAATGAATGCGCTGTGTTATTTGACTAGATCTACGATATTACATAGTATAAGATCATGTTAAATTAATAATGAATCGATAGTAGTTTCATTTCCTTAAATAGAATAATCAATTTTCCACCATAATTTATCACATATCGATTGGAATCAACGAATTCGTTCGCTATTTTGAAATTCCGATGGCGAAAAACTATAATTCGATGTTTTAGACGCCCAATCCTATTGAAAAATCTATATTTGGAATTCCGTTTTATATGAATTTCATGTTGTACGAGTCACTTAGATTTTACAAATACATGAGCCGTTCACAGTCCGGTACACGTATTTGTAAAATCTAAGTGACTTGTACAACGTGGAATTCATATAAAACGGAATTATCAACAGTGTTATAGGGGGTCTACTGTATTCTATTATCTACTTGTGAAAAAACCAACAGAGAGAATCGCGCGAATAAATATAATTTATATATAATTAATAAATATCCAATATTTATAAGATTAAATCTTAAAACTTTGATTAAATTATTTTTTTTTAATTTGTTATGCCGCGTTTGAATTTTTACATTACTTAATAACAGTCTAATCTGATTCAAATAATTGCGTAAATAATAATTCCGAATAAACAAAATAATCTGATAACTTAATGAAGATTTTGTCAATCATTTAAGTACTTTAGAATAAACTCTGTTAGAGAACATTCTCTTTTATTGATGAGAAATGTAAATTCAGATTGTAAATTAAAAAATTAACTCTATATAACTTAGTACTCTGTAAAATTTCTTCAGACATTTTGCTCGTACTTCGGCTTAGTAATAGAATAATTTCGAGAAAGATGGCCAATCTCTGTGATTCTGAAAATAGACATGGTAAGTCCGAGGTGGACTAGTCACTGAGAACAACGCAATTGTAGTAGAACTTACGACCTGTTTCGAAAAATCTTGATAAGAATAAAATGATTATTTTGTTTTGTATATAAAACCCTTAGTAATTCCGGGATAGATGGCCATCGTTTTTAAAGTGTAAATAAATGTTGTTTGTTCAATCTGAAAACACTCTTTAAATATCTAATTTGTGTCAGCTTGTATGTGACCTTAGAATCAAGCTCGAGCACCGACAAGATCATAAATGTCTCTCACTGACACAACGGCCATTACACCCGTGTGGTTTGGGTTATATGATTTTTCTATTAGAGCTTTTTTGTTGCCACGTAGCTATAGGCGCACTAGGCAATCGCCTACGACGCAAAAATTTAGGTGCTGTACCAACAAAATTCTGCCTAGGGCGCCAAAAACTGGCCTTAGCCACATGTATATTCTTTTTCACTCACAATTGTGTTTTAAGTGAACTTTAATCATTCCAACATATCTCTTCTGGGCTTTCAACTATCTAACTCTGTTCTCGAGATTAAGGAAGGACAGACAGACAGTGGGAATTTATAGGTCTACTATATTTTCAAATTACAGCCAAATGAGCATTTTTATAGTAAATTAACTCTACGGTCAAAAGTGGATGTTAATCTTTTATTTGATAATATGCATATTTCATAATAAAATATGGTTCGTTGCCATTTTCTTTATTGAAAATAATACTTTGTGATTAAAATAAACAATACATTATTGTTCAATTTTTTTTTTACAAATCATTTATTGTTAACGGCCAGCAGGTGGAGGCGGTTAAGACGTCAGCCTATCACTATGGGAGATCCCAGATCGAATCCTGGCCGATCATCGAGAATTTTTCGGAAGTGGTCTGTCCCTGTATATGTCGGTCAACGAGCTAGAATATACTACAAAGAGAGGCTGAAGCGACGCCATGTTCAAGAAAAATTGAATACACGTCCGCCATTTTCTTTTTAGTCAAGAGGACGTGTCATTTGTGTTGTGTAAAGGTAACGAACTAGAATATTCTAACTCATCGATAGTACAGTACCTGTCAATCCCCGCCCACTAGTGGCCAAGTGGTTCGGTTCCCTGAACACTGGGAGTTCGGTCGTGGGTTCGCGCCTCGCCAGCACTACGTGGAATTTTTCGTGATTGTCTCCATGTCTGTAACGCCTGAATAGGGGCCAGTCACCCTTAAAAAGATCTCCCAGAAGGCATCCTTGTAGGCAAATCGTCCAAGTGTTGTGTTGCCATAACTTAGCTCACGACGAATGACGAAAAAACACCTTAGGTTCTACAGACTGACAGAAAAAATTAACACTTTATCATTTTAAAGTATTAAGATAAGCAATAGTATTTTCTACTCCTACTTTCATTTTTATATCGCAACAACTTTGAAATAAGTTATTACATGTGCACGAAAAATACCACCAAAAAAATGACAAGAAGCTTATTTCACTAATTTATAAGAAAATTTATACAGTATTATATATAAAAATAGTTTTATAATTCTTTTTAATTTGGAGATTATTTGTTTAAAACGGCGAAAATATTTTTAATACTTGCATAATATAAAAAACATTAAACTGGTATTTATATCGAATGTAAAATAAAACCGAGATTACATTTAATGTTGATATATAAATACTTTTATATAACTAAAAAGTAATGCTCCATTGTTTTTGACACTAAATTTTTATTTTTCCGGTTGTTATATATAACAGAGGGAAAGTAAGGCAATCGGTCAAACAATGGTCCCCCTCCAAGATTTTTACGTTTTGACTTAGGACACCTTGAAACGTCGAGAAATGCAAAAAAAAATTAGGAAGTAATTTCTGTATGTATGGATGTTAGTATGGGTGGGGGAAGCACGATTTTGTTTACCCTCTTTGAAGCTTAATAACTCCTGTCCTTTTTGTCGAAAATTTCTGAAATTTTGCAGGGAAATTTGTGTATTATGGGAATTGACATTATTAAATTTTAGTGATTAAAGGTCGAGGGGGTGGTAAGCTAAAGAAGGTCGTGTGTATCTCCAGTAGGACTTAATGTCGATTTTACTCGTTATTAGCATTTACAATTTTTTAATAAAACCATCCCTACCCTCAAAATTAAGTTTTTTGACATTTTATAATAGTTTTAACTATTATATTATATTAACTATGATATAATATTATTAAAGACTACTTATAAGAAGTTTTTAATAATAAAATATCATAACAGATGGCGCCAGCGAATGTTGCCGGAAAAGTTAAGCAACTCGTATATAAACTGGACTTTTAATAACGCTATTATAAAACTCGTAGCACATCAAATTACTATATTGAGAAAATAGCATGAAGTACTATAATACTTAGAAATAATTCTAAAATTTAAAAAATATTTTTAATTGGAAATCATGGTACACCATGTTGTAGGTAGACAAGAATTGTATAACATCTAATACAGTATAAGACATTGGCTAGTGGTATAACAAAGAAACTGCCAATATACATCAGTAGTTTTAGTATAACGAAACCAATTTACCATAGGCTAAATAATATAAACAGAAGAAAATTCGACAACGGTAAATGTAAATGATTACAAATGTGCTGTACTGTACCTGCAACTTTCCTTAACAACGTTAAGTGAGGACTTGCTATATGTTCGCTTTCTTAAGGTTACTTTCTGGCAGATCTCTGTTTTGCCTCCAGTCCCGTAATCAGGAATACAACTATACAGGAATGCCCCCCTATAACACTGTAGATAATTCCATTTTATATGAATTCCATGTTGTACGAGTCACTTAAATTTTACAAATACGTGTGCCGGGCTTTGAACAGCTCATGTATTTGTAAAATCTAAGTGACTCGTACAACATGGAATTCATATAAAACGGAATAATCAACAGTGTTATAGGGGGGTCAACTTGTAAATCATAGAGACAAGAGGGGCAAACTGAAAAAATTGTGACTAGTATTTTCTTTTTTCTTCTTTCATCCAGCACTAGGTCTATTATCCACAGTTTAAAATTGATGAAAATGAAAGCGTGGTTAATATATAATGCATATGGAAACTAGTAACTAACTTGAGGGAGCTTAGCTACCTTATAGTGCCCAGTAGGCTATGGATCTATTTGTCTGTAAACAATATCAACTAACATATAACATTTTCGTTGTGCTTCCACAGTCTTAATTCGATTTTCGACTGACTCATTCCTCAATTTCTCACGTTTTCTTATTAAAACTTTTAAAATATTCCTTCAAATTTGTTTAATAGTGCTTAATTAACAAATCTGCCGATTCTCGTTTATGAAATATATTAGATAAATAGTAAAACAACGTAACGAAAATATACAATTCGCATTCTATCTCGCTCACAAAAATTTCTATTTGAACGCATTTAAATCACTTTATAGAAAAATTCGTAAGTACAGTTTGATCTTACACGATATTTAATATTGTTTTCTTTATGTTAACTTAATTTTTTTCTTCAATTTTCATTTAATTTCTTTCTGTAAATAATCCAAAACCGAACTACTAAGGTGCGCGTTTTATAAGTCATACGACAGAAACATATTGTACTTTCGCATTAACAAAGACTCGCGTTCTTACTATCTAAATTTTGAAACGTATAAACGAATTGATACGCTTTATATCCGGGGAAAAACACTTCATAACCGTGTATATTCCCATATTACCCTAGCAACAGCTATGTAACGTAAACCGAAATTCTCAATAGGTCGTTCATCTTGATAATTTTAATAGTAATAAAACAATTAAAAATACCGAAATTAATCGATTTCGATAAATTACGAGTATTAAAATATTATTAAACGAAACAATAACTATGAAACTGATTTCTTTCATTTTCAATATATGAGTATTGTTAAAACATTCGATGCTATTGGAGCATTTGATGAGGCGATTTGTAATCTAGATGCTTATTGGATGAGATACCGGCACCGGAAGATGATGGTAAATTGATACGGAGGAACTCGTGTGATGTTGATCCATGATTTGTGATGTTTTCAGATAAAGGATCGTCACATATTCTGATGAATGATGTATAAATGTTAATAAACATTGTATATATAATATATATATAACACGTCGTTTATATATTTTATATCTGTTCGATTTTATATCTGAGAGGTGTATAATGTAAGTAAAAATTCTTAATATGTTTCAGTATGGCGAATGGAATTTTATTGAATTTATTTTTAGCAAATATTGTCAACATTAAATGTTTATTCCATAATTTTCTTTATTAAACATGTCATTGAACTAATTAATAGATTTTCCACCTCAAGGACGAGATTTCCCGCGAACAAATTTGTTCGCGGGAAAAATCTCGAGNTTGAGTCATTTTACAAGTTGCTTTATTAAATGGTCTATCTCCAGCTTATCAAATGGTCAGAAGTGTCAGTTTACATTTATAGAGGTAAGGTGAAGTCAATCAGAAGTCACTGTAATTTTGTCTTTTAAAATACAAACAATAAACAAATTTTAATTTACATTTTCCCCAGAACTAGGTTTATGTGGGTTACTATCTTTTACACCCAAACCCTTTATATAAACTATATTTTTATAATCATAAAATAACTTCGATAAATTAAGTATTATTGATTTATCAAATATCAAAAATAATTTTTATTAACTTTTAATATTAAATTGAATTTACTAAGTTACTGGATAATTATAGTATAGGTCTCTTATTAATAATTTAAAACTCTTAATTTTTTAGTTTATGCACCTCAGGCAGGAAAACTAGAGAATGGAATTCGTAATTTTCCAAATTTACATGATGAAAAATATGTAGCAGAAAATTTTTTAAAAATGAATGACAAGCTTCCTCTAGCACTTCCGTAAGTAATGAATTGAATTGAATTTAAAATTTTTATTAAATTAGCATCTTTAATTTTATATTTTTCAATTTTATATTGATAGAAATATTTTATTCACATTATAGTAAATATGAATTATTAAAATACTATTGAATTACTTGGATACATTTAGAAAACACATTGATGACAATTGTAACAATAACCAAAATAAAAAAAAAATTTAATGTGCATTTTACAAATTTAGTTTTAATTCACACATCACAAAATTTATTAACTAAATTTAAGAAGAAAAATTATTTTATAATGAATTTATTGATTTATTGATATTAATAAAGATAAGATTCAATTAATATAAAGTAATTGCTTTTTGTCCTTGGTATAATTAAATTAATTAAAAATCTACTAATGTGAGGTAGATAATAAGGATTTATCACACCAGTGATAATAAGCACAAACACTATTGATACCTGAGTGTTTGTGCTAATTATCACTGGTGTGATAAGTCCTTATTATCAACCTCACATTAGTAGATTTTTAATTAATAAGATTCAATTATTAAAACAAATTTAAAAACCACTAAGAAATTTAACTTTCATTTTTACAGAATAAAATAATATGAAAATTGTAAACTCCTGACAATGAATTTGATAATTAAAATTCTTAAATATTGTCTTAATTATCTTGATTTATTAAGAATTTTAACTTATTTTTCTTAAGAATTTTTCTTATGGCTTATTGAATTATTATATTTGTCTTACATTATTTTTACTTATTTTTTAAAGTAATAAGTATGCATACCACACTTTGAGAAACACTTCACTAAATTTTCTTAATAAAAAAGGCTAAGATTAATGATCTAATTTACAAAAACTTAATAAGAGATTTAAAATGTTTATTTATCCAATAATAATAATCTAACTTAATTATGAAACAATATGAACTTTTTATATTAATGAGGTATTAATTATTTTTAAATAGATGGATTCCCTTGATAAAGACTCCTCCTCTTGTTATGCCACAGTGAATGGTATAAATGATGATGAATTTAGTAGTGATGCCAAAGTTAAAAAAGATATAAAAGATGACAAAAACAGTCAACGATTCAAGATAGATCCCTATTATGCACCGAAAATATTAAGAAAAAATTTGAATATGCTTGTTCGAGCTCCATCTTCGGATTCATCCACAGATCAGGCTTTAGTATTAGTATTATATACTGGTGGAACTATTGGAATGATGAAAACAGATAAAGGAGGTAATTATTTTATTTATACTAAATTTCCTATTAGTATTTAATTATAATTAATTACTAGTAAGTTATTTAACAGCATAATAATTTCATTATATTATTAGAATTCTGTTTTCCATTAAATAATAATTTATTTGCATACATATGTATTATATATAATACTATATTGCCGGAATTTAGCTATAATTAATTATTAAAGACAGTCAGATGGCCAAGGTGATTAAAGCTTCAGTGTACCACTCTGAGATTTGAGATTTGAGATTGAATTTAGGCAAGCAACTTCCTAGGAAGTTTTCATGGGTAATCATATCAAGCCACATTCCTTACCACTTGACAGCCTCCTCCATGAGCCTGGAGGAGATGGATATGGAAGAAAGATCCTCTTAGTGCCCACAGGGTTGGAAAGAGTTAAAAACGAAAAACGGAAAAAACACTAAATGTTAAAACTAAGTACAGTACAATTTAGTTTTATTATATTAAGTAAATTGATTCTTTAATCATTTTACTTGATATAAAGAACATTATGCTGATTAATTTTCTTTTGACTTCTGTTTATAGGTAGTTATTCATATATATGAAGTAAAAACATAATAACTACATAACTTGATTCTTTTCACATAAATAACTTATTGATATATATTTGAAAGATTCAGGTGTAAAAGATGGTAACCCACTTTTTGAGTCATTTTACAAGTTGCTTTATTAAATGGTCTATCTCCAGCTTATCAAATGGTCAGAAGTGTCAGTTTACATTTATAGAGGTAAGGTGAAGTCAATCAGAAGTCACTGTAATTTTGTCTTTTAAAATACAAACAATAAACAAATTTTAATTTACATTTTCCCCAGAACTAGGTTTATGTGGGTTACTATCTTTTACACCCAAACCCTTTATATAAACTATATTTTTATAATCATAAAATAACTTCGATAAATTAAGTATTATTGATTTATCAAATATCAAAAATAATTTTTATTAACTTTTAATATTAAATTGAATTTACTAAGTTACTGGATAATTATAGTATAGGTCTCTTATTAATAATTTAAAACTCTTAATTTTTTAGTTTATGCACCTCAGGCAGGAAAACTAGAGAATGGAATTCGTAATTTTCCAAATTTACATGATGAAAAATATGTAGCAGAAAATTTTTTAAAAATGAATGACAAGCTTCCTCTAGCACTTCCGTAAGTAATGAATTGAATTGAATTTAAAATTTTTATTAAATTAGCATCTTTAATTTTATATTTTTCAATTTTATATTGATAGAAATATTTTATTCACATTATAGTAAATATGAATTATTAAAATACTATTGAATTACTTGGATACATTTAGAAAACACATTGATGACAATTGTAACAATAACCAAAATAAAAAAAAAATTTAATGTGCATTTTACAAATTTAGTTTTAATTCACACATCACAAAATTTATTAACTAAATTTAAGAAGAAAAATTATTTTATAATGAATTTATTGATTTATTGATATTAATAAAGATAAGATTCAATTAATATAAAGTAATTGCTTTTTGTCCTTGGTATAATTAAATTAATTAAAAATCTACTAATGTGAGGTAGATAATAAGGATTTATCACACCAGTGATAATAAGCACAAACACTATTGATACCTGAGTGTTTGTGCTAATTATCACTGGTGTGATAAGTCCTTATTATCAACCTCACATTAGTAGATTTTTAATTAATAAGATTCAATTATTAAAACAAATTTAAAAACCACTAAGAAATTTAACTTTCATTTTTACAGAATAAAATAATATGAAAATTGTAAACTCCTGACAATGAATTTGATAATTAAAATTCTTAAATATTGTCTTAATTATCTTGATTTATTAAGAATTTTAACTTATTTTTCTTAAGAATTTTTCTTATGGCTTATTGAATTATTATATTTGTCTTACATTATTTTTACTTATTTTTTAAAGTAATAATTAATTTTCATATTCAATATAAACTTTTATTTTTTATATTAATATATTTAGAAGCTCATTAAAAGAACTTTTGGTTATTTAGTGAGGGTTTAGAAAGCTGGATACTTGTCTCTTAAGATAATATTGTAATATCAGAATAATCTTATAGATGATATATCTTCCAACAAAATTAGTTAAACAAGTAATATAAATTAATTTTGTATTCTGTGTCTGATTTAAAAATTTAAGCCTAACATAATTAAATATAATTAATTAACAGAGAAAAGATATTTCTTTATAATGATTATTATTAGAAGTGCCTGATAATAGTCAGTGAATGGATAATTAGTTAAATTGCATAAATTTATGATTAATTAGTGATAATGTTTATAAATGTTACAATAAATTATAAATTATGAATAACTTGACCATTACTTTAAAAATAATATATTTAATAATAATGTTTATTTATTAAATATATATCTTTATTAAAATTATTAATGAAATTCTTAACATTTTCAGAAAAATGGACTACAGTCATAAAAGACTTGTTTATGTTATTTATGAATATGAACCACTCTTGGATTCTTCAAATATGACAATGGATGATTGGATCCGTATTGCCCTAGATATTAAAGTAATACTATGTTTTTTGCTTTTAAATTATCAATAAATATGAGTAGATAGACATCAGTAAAAGATGTTGATATAATAAAAAGTGGCTATAATGTTAATATTTCATTTTCTTTAATTTTTAAAATAATAGCCAACTATTTTTGGCAACATATATTTAAAACATTGTAATAATTTTTCTAAAAAAGAACATTTAACATATATATTTTTTTAATTGTTAAGTCAATTCTTGTTCTCATACATAAATCCAGAGAGGACTTATCATTTCATTTTGAATATTTGGTATTCATTGATACGCATTTATACAGCTGAACACACACAAGTATAAAGCATATATATATATTTAATCAGAAGCTGTTTTGAATTCATTTAGCAGCTCTTCAAGTAGAAGTTACATTTATAGTTTGTAGACAGAATTTTGTGGTTAAATTTTATACTTTTTAAATATTTGTAAAATAGAAACATCTTTTTATCTCATAAAAATTTTAACATAAAGTGACAATAATGTAAATAAAACTGGTTATTATTCATTTCAGGCAAATTTAAAATTAGGTCAAATATAAGTATCATCTTGCTAAGGAAAATTGAATTTGAATAATTTTAATTTTTAAATATATTTCATACACTATTTTAACATAAAGAAATTATATTTCATTATTAGTCTTGTCAGTGGCATGGAGAACCTTTTCTGAGATTTAACCAAAGGATATTATGTGAACTCACAGTACGAGCATTGATGACAATGTCCGTATTCAACTATGATTATTTATTTTTACATTTTTGAAGTATTATTCTTTTATTATTCCTGTATATTTACTTTACACATGTATATATATAGTTTTATTGAAGTTTTTATATTATTTGTTTTTTGTTTTCTTTATGTGTGTTTTATATATTTTATTATTGTAACTTATAAGATCTGGTACTAACATTTAAATTGTTTTATGAATGATATAATTTCCAGAAAGCTCTTTAAAAATTTGAGAGCTTTTCAGACTTCCTTACTTAGACCAATATATAATATTTATCCTTGACAGGATTTATTTCTTCTTCTCTTCATTAAATGCTTCTTGCACTTGGTTCTTTACTTCAGCAATAATATTATCTTCAGACAAATATTTGCACACAATTAGGTCATTGCCAACATTGATAAAATTTTCAAATGATGCTTTTTCATCACTAATGCACCACTGTAACCAGGTAGAGGAACCATTTGTAATGAAAAAATTAATAAAAATGCTGAATATAAGAAAACTAATTTAATTGCAAAGTTCACTACTGATTTAGTAATTTATATAATTTATCAATCAAACAATAATTTAATCAAAAATATCAAGTTCACTCCAAACTCGTATGATTCATCTTCAATAACATGCAGCTTTTTTGTACAATAAACTTTATCATAATTTAAAATTTTGAATGTTAACCTGATCTAAAGCTTTTATCAAAAGAAGATGCTATTGGTAAAAATTGAACTGTTATAGCTTACAAAGTGAAATTATTGAATGCTCACTACAAATATCAATAAAAAGTACACTATAATTTTTCTGTTTCAACAATTTATTTATTTATTTCAATCACATTAGGAAAAGTCTTAGAACAATAGATTTCCACCCCTAGTTAACATGATTGTAGAAATATCTAACTTTTTCAGCCAGTTACAAAAAGTTTTGAAATCTGTGCTTTCTTATTTGCTGTATATTGTATAAGTATAATGTTTTGATATTGCAGAAACATCAAGCTTTAAAGATTTTTTTCATAATAATGATGGCAGTTTTTCATTACCTGTCATGTTCATGTTTGCTCCCAAGAGTTACATTGTTTGTATTTTTTACCTCTGTGACATGTAGGGATGTCTCGATACCATTTGTACATGTGTAAAGTAAATATACAGGAATAATACAAGAATAATAATTCAAAAATGTAAAAATGAAAGTATCGATACCAGTATCATGAGTAGTTTTAAAGTATCAATACTGGTATTGGTATCCATACCAGCCAGTATTGGCATCAGGTAACAAAATGAAAATCTTGCCATCTGTCACTATTCAGTTTGTTACGTCACCTTCCAGTTGTTTTTACTGCTGGGAAGGTACACCTATCCTTCTTTTTTAGCTCAGTGGATATGTTTCAAAGAATGCTGTATATAAAAAATCATATAAAAATTGTACAGTACATGCATCCTGTAGAAAAATGCTTAATAGGATCCACAACTTCAATGTAATAAAAAAAAATAAGCAATTTATAAAAGAAACATGAGCTTTTTTATTCTAACATCATTTATCATTAACATTATTTGTAAATATATTCATAAAATTTAAAACAATGGGATCAGTAATAATCTTAAAATTTGGAGACATCACTGATGAGGCTTTACTGTAAGTGAAATGCATTTGGATTTTGTGAACTCAATGAAAATAGAGTTATTGGTAATTGAAGTTTAGTATTTCTTCATTATTTGTTTGTCTGCTTAACTGAATCACTCGAAGTCGGATAAGAAAGAGTAATTTTACTTGTTTTTAATCTGGAAATAATCTTATTTATTTTTAGAATTTACAAATTTTAACATCATTTGTATGTAAATATAGTAAACACAAGGTAGCGTAGGAAACATAAAATCAACATACAGCATTCTATTATGTACTATACTGTGCTTAAGAAAGGAAAATTAACTCTTGATTTCATCAATTTTAACAAAAAGTTAAATTTAAACATTTTCAAATAAACTATTTTTTCCCATATAAAAAAATCAATTGTGTAAAAATTGGATTAGTTTTCTTTTGTTGACCAAGTTATTTCAAAATCGCATAAGGATGAACCATGTAAAAAGAGCGATAGGTGTACTGTACTCATTACAATGAATGCTGAGTAAGCCCCAGAGCAGCAAATATTTTGTTGCTTACTCCAGGGAATTAAATTCTGGTTGTCTGGTTCAGAAGTCAGTGCATCAGTAAGTACTTCAGTTTACACTCATATGACATCTTATGTACACAAAAGAAGCCCCAGATCCACAGTCATGTTAATGGTCTCTGTGCATACTACTATAATATACATGGAATAGGAGTGGATAAGAAATTATTGGTGAAGAGGTAAAACTGCCTTTACATTGAAAGTTCTTTATTGTGTTAAAATTTTATAAATGTCAGTGTAAACGAGTAAATACAAACTGTAGCTCATTTTAAACATCACTGATGGTCCGGGTTGATTAACGAACAAAAGTACTGCATAATGTTTAACTAAATATCTATTTATAAATAGTAATCAGAACTCTAAGCATACCAGTATATAGATTTTGGAAATTAAATTTGACCTAATACATTTATTAAATTTTGGTCATTAATATTTTTTATATAAGTTTAACTTAACTGAAAATTATTAAAATTCCATTTCAGTTTCTGATTTGAAACTGAAATGGAATGATTTGGCTGCAAAATCGGGTGTCAGCTGAAATTTACCTGTTCATGGAAAATGTAATGATACCAGATCCGATACCCAAAGTAAAGTATCAATATTGATACCAGTATCAGTATCAGACCAAAAGTATCAATACCAGTATCGGTATAAGATGAAAAGTATTGAGTATAAAAAGTACTCTGTATTGAAGGAAAATATGATATGGTATTGGTATCAGCAGTTTTGGTGATACCAATACCATATCATATAGTCCAGGGGTGGCCAACCTGCGGCTCGCGAGCCACATGTGGCTCTTTGAAGGATTATTTGTGGCTCTCGATAAATGTACCCGAGTTCCCTTTTCATTTTTGTGTTGTTATATTTTAAAAAATTATTATCGTCCGTATGTGTTTCAAAATGTCTTTTAAATTACTAACAACAAATATGAAAGACTAAGTGCAACGTTGTAACAAATTTCATTACCGTCCAAGTTAAGAATGATATGACTCATCGAAAACTGCGCGAACGAACATAAACAGTGGCGTAATCGTCCGTTATCGACCGACTCCAGACCAATTTTGAATTTGTAAATTGTCATTGCAATGGACAGTTGACATTGTGTTCTGGAGGAAACAATTTGTATCACTCTTGCTACGGATATAATTTGTAATCTGGAATTTTTGCATACCTTTTTAATACGTATTTAATTGCGGCTCGCGAAAAATTTCAAATTTTGAAAAATGGCTAGGACTATCAAGGAGCTTGGCCACCCCGGATATAGTCCTTAGTGACATGAATTACCTTTGAACACTGTTTGCAACATTTAAAAAATAAACACATTTTTGACTGCATTGAAAATATCATCCAGGCTATAGTTCTGTATAATTTTTGATTTCTGAACTTTACAATCACTGCATGTAGTTCTCTTTTCACACTCCTGGATTTTCACTACAGATTTTATTAAACACTATTCCATGTTTCTTCTTAAATTCATCCAGCCAGCTACTGTTTGCTTTGAATCTGGTATGTTCCAATCGTTATTTGTATTGTTCAGTTTCTCCTGTAAAATTGACATGAATATTCTTGTTTCTACACTGTATAAGTGACTTCTGCATTCACTTTTCAGAATCTGGATATTCACATTTACACTTACTTTTTTGTTGTTTCATACTGTTGTTCATTAAAGATTTCAAAAATCCTTTTTCTCTATATATCTGAAAAACGAGAGCATACTCAATTGACAATATCTTTCATTTTCTCTTGTTGGCAAGAGAACTACTTTAGAATGAAACTGGTCAATATGCTGATTAATTGGTCATTTTCAGCTATAAAAATATCAACAAGTGATTCATGTTGTATAAATTTCACTATAAAGAATGAATGTTTAGTTCCAAATAAGGAGATTCATATATACAAACTCATAAATTTGATTGGTTAATAATTCAGTAAGTTGTCAAATTATAAATGTGTTAGCATTTGAAAATTTACCAATCAAATCTTAGTTACATTTTTAAGTTTGTGTTTAACTATAAGATCATTAGTTTATGTGCAAAGCATTAAAATTTTGAATTTTATGTTGTGCAGAGGCATAATTCTGTACAATACCAATATTCAACTTTGTCATAATAATGTTCATCCCCTTGAAAACACAAAAGAAAGCATGCAAAATTAGACATGAAATAGTCTCTAGAAATTAAGTTTTGAGGTAGCAAACTATGATCTCAAAATTGCTTTAACTTATACAAGAACAAACTGCATTGAGTCTGTGGGAGTTAATTTGGAACAAAAATAAAATTTGAATTAGCAAGCATTTTGAGTCAAGAAAGTTCAACTTGTCAAGAGCCTATTGTATTTGTATTTTTAATAATATAAAACAAAATATAGAAAATAACAGTAAATAATAATATATCATTTACTGTTATTTTCTATATTTATTAATATATTATTATTATTTATGAAATTAAATCAATATAAAAATGATGATGACAGCAATATTTTTTATAATTTCACTGAAATAATTATATTTTATATAAAATATAGAAAATTATTTTTACTCGTCTGTGTATCTCAATACACTATGATGTTATCCAGTCCCAAAGTTATCTTTATAAATGTATATTTTTATCTAGTTAAATTTGCCTAAAATGACTTTCAATTAATATATCTAAAAATGTACCATTTATGCATTATTTGCAAAATAATGTTAAAATATTTTGTTGTTTGCATTGGTACGATTGGTATTGGTATAAACAAATGAATTCTATCAGCAATATTGTTTGACTTATTATTATAAAATTGCAACCAGCAAAATATTGTTAATAAGCATTTACAAAGGTGATAAAAAAGCCACTATGTTATCTGAATTAGCCCAGCATTAATTATAATCTTACAATGTTAACTGTTAACAAATTAAATTTCTTTATAAACATTAGTGTGACTGAATTGCTTTTTATTGAAATGCAGTGTCTAATAAAACTCATATGCTTTCCAATTCTTACTTAATTGTATTGTAGAGAAATACACAAAAAATTGATTTTTTGTGTATTTCTCTACAATATAATTAAGTAAGAATTGGATAAATCATCTGACTCCATTGTTTTAAATAATTATTTTGATCACATGCTTTCTTTAGAGTATAATGTACAGTACTTTACATCTGTAGTGTATCTTTTACAAATAAAAATTTTAATTTAATATAAATATTACATTTGCAATTTGCATACTTTTACATAAAAAAATTATGTAAGATTGTGAATTTTTTAAAAATTAATGGCAATATTCATAAAATAAGTTTTTCTGTTTTTGATAAAATGAAATGAAATGAATTCAAATCACATTCCATTTTTTTTGGACAGGAAGATTCGTTAAAGTTTGTTTAATGTAATTATTGACAAATAATTTCTAAATGTAACCTCCAATATTAGTTACCACTGATCTTGAATTTATAGAAAATGCAAATATGTTGAAGTAGAATATGATAGAAGACAAGTCATGATAGGAGCATGAAACCAGTCAGTAAAATATAATTCAATGAATTGATAATTAAAATATCAATTATACAAAGCAAACATTTCATTTTAACATTGAAATTGGTTTCTATTTTGGTAATGCTAAAATAGTTCATAAAATTTTTTATTTTATTTTAACAATTTTATTAAATAATAATAAGCTTTTTTCCTCACAAAGTAAAAATAATTATCTTTATTATATTTTTAATGTCAGGAATTTTATGAATTATTTGATGGCTTTGTTATCCTTCATGGTACAGATACAATGGCATATACAGCTTCAGCTCTTTCTTTCATGTTTGAACAGTTAGGAAAATCTGTTGTAATTACAGGATCCCAGGTAATTTTTAATTAAATGTTTTATTTAAAATTAAGTTGCAAATGATATGGTTCGTTTATAAGAAATATTTGTTTTAGATTCCATTATTTGAAACACGTAGTGATGGACGAGAAAATTTCCTATGTTCACTTATTATAGCAGGGATTTATAATATTNTATACTGGTGGAACTATTGGAATGATGAAAACAGATAAAGGAGGTAATTATTTTATTTATACTAAATTTCCTATTAGTATTTAATTATAATTAATTACTAGTAAGTTATTTAACAGCATAATAATTTCATTATATTATTAGAATTCTGTTTTCCATTAAATAATAATTTATTTGCATACATATGTATTATATATAATACTATATTGCCGGAATTTAGCTATAATTAATTATTAAAGACAGTCAGATGGCCAAGGTGATTAAAGCTTCAGTGTACCACTCTGAGATTTGAGATTTGAGATTGAATTTAGGCAAGCAACTTCCTAGGAAGTTTTCATGGGTAATCATATCAAGCCACATTCCTTACCACTTGACAGCCTCCTCCATGAGCCTGGAGGAGATGGATATGGAAGAAAGATCCTCTTAGTGCCCACAGGGTTGGAAAGAGTTAAAAACGAAAAACGGAAAAAACACTAAATGTTAAAACTAAGTACAGTACAATTTAGTTTTATTATATTAAGTAAATTGATTCTTTAATCATTTTACTTGATATAAAGAACATTATGCTGATTAATTTTCTTTTGACTTCTGTTTATAGGTAGTTATTCATATATATGAAGTAAAAACATAATAACTACATAACTTGATTCTTTTCACATAAATAACTTATTGATATATATTTGAAAGATTCAGGTGTAAAAGATGGTAACCCACTTTTTGAGTCATTTTACAAGTTGCTTTATTAAATGGTCTATCTCCAGCTTATCAAATGGTCAGAAGTGTCAGTTTACATTTATAGAGGTAAGGTGAAGTCAATCAGAAGTCACTGTAATTTTGTCTTTTAAAATACAAACAATAAACAAATTTTAATTTACATTTTCCCCAGAACTAGGTTTATGTGGGTTACTATCTTTTACACCCAAACCCTTTATATAAACTATATTTTTATAATCATAAAATAACTTCGATAAATTAAGTATTATTGATTTATCAAATATCAAAAATAATTTTTATTAACTTTTAATATTAAATTGAATTTACTAAGTTACTGGATAATTATAGTATAGATCTCTTATTAATAATTTAAAACTCTTAATTTTTTAGTTTATGCACCTCAGGCAGGAAAACTAGAGAATGGAATTCGTAATTTTCCAAATTTACATGATGAAAAATATGTAGCAGAAAATTTTTTAAAAATGAATGACAAGCTTCCTCTAGCACTTCCGTAAGTAATGAATTGAATTGAATTTAAAATTTTTATTAAATTAGCATCTTTAATTTTATATTTTTCAATTTTATATTGATAGAAATATTTTATTCACATTATAGTAAATATGAATTATTAAAATACTATTGAATTACTTGGATACATTTAGAAAACACATTGATGACAATTGTAACAATAACCAAAATAAAAAAAAAATTTAATGTGCATTTTACAAATTTAGTTTTAATTCACACATCACAAAATTTATTAACTAAATTTAAGAAGAAAAATTATTTTATAATGAATTTATTGATTTATTGATATTAATAAAGATAAGATTCAATTAATATAAAGTAATTGCTTTTTGTCCTTGGTATAATTAAATTAATTAAAAATCTACTAATGTGAGGTAGATAATAAGGATTTATCACACCAGTGATAATAAGCACAAACACTATTGATACCTGAGTGTTTGTGCTAATTATCACTGGTGTGATAAGTCCTTATTATCAACCTCACATTAGTAGATTTTTAATTAATAAGATTCAATTATTAAAACAAATTTAAAAACCACTAAGAAATTTAACTTTCATTTTTACAGAATAAAATAATATGAAAATTGTAAACTCCTGACAATGAATTTGATAATTAAAATTCTTAAATATTGTCTTAATTATCTTGATTTATTAAGAATTTTAACTTATTTTTCTTAAGAATTTTTCTTATGGCTTATTGAATTATTATATTTGTCTTACATTATTTTTACTTATTTTTTAAAGTAATAATTAATTTTCATATTCAATATAAACTTTTATTTTTTATATTAATATATTTAGAAGCTCATTAAAAGAACTTTTGGTTATTTAGTGAGGGTTTAGAAAGCTGGATACTTGTCTCTTAAGATAATATTGTAATATCAGAATAATCTTATAGATGATATATCTTCCAACAAAATTAGTTAAACAAGTAATATAAATTAATTTTGTATTCTGTGTCTGATTTAAAAATTTAAGCCTAACATAATTAAATATAATTAATTAACAGAGAAAAGATATTTCTTTATAATGATTATTATTAGAAGTGCCTGATAATAGTCAGTGAATGGATAATTAGTTAAATTGCATAAATTTATGATTAATTAGTGATAATGTTTATAAATGTTACAATAAATTATAAATTATGAATAACTTGACCATTACTTTAAAAATAATATATTTAATAATAATGTTTATTTATTAAATATATATCTTTATTAAAATTATTAATGAAATTCTTAACATTTTCAGAAAAATGGACTACAGTCATAAAAGACTTGTTTATGTTATTTATGAATATGAACCACTCTTGGATTCTTCAAATATGACAATGGATGATTGGATCCGTATTGCCCTAGATATTAAAGTAATACTATGTTTTTTGCTTTTAAATTATCAATAAATATGAGTAGATAGACATCAGTAAAAGATGTTGATATAATAAAAAGTGGCTATAATGTTAATATTTCATTTTCTTTAATTTTTAAAATAATAGCCAACTATTTTTGGCAACATATATTTAAAACATTGTAATAATTTTTCTAAAAAAGAACATTTAACATATATATTTTTTTAATTGTTAAGTCAATTCTTGTTCTCATACATAAATCCAGAGAGGACTTATCATTTCATTTTGAATATTTGGTATTCATTGATACGCATTTATACAGCTGAACACACACAAGTATAAAGCATATATATATATTTAATCAGAAGCTGTTTTGAATTCATTTAGCAGCTCTTCAAGTAGAAGTTACATTTATAGTTTGTAGACAGAATTTTGTGGTTAAATTTTATACTTTTTAAATATTTGTAAAATAGAAACATCTTTTTATCTCATAAAAATTTTAACATAAAGTGACAATAATGTAAATAAAACTGGTTATTATTCATTTCAGGCAAATTTAAAATTAGGTCAAATATAAGTATCATCTTGCTAAGGAAAATTGAATTTGAATAATTTTAATTTTTAAATATATTTCATACACTATTTTAACATAAAGAAATTATATTTCATTATTAGTCTTGTCAGTGGCATGGAGAACCTTTTCTGAGATTTAACCAAAGGATATTATGTGAACTCACAGTACGAGCATTGATGACAATGTCCGTATTCAACTATGATTATTTATTTTTACATTTTTGAAGTATTATTCTTTTATTATTCCTGTATATTTACTTTACACATGTATATATATAGTTTTATTGAAGTTTTTATATTATTTGTTTTTTGTTTTCTTTATGTGTGTTTTATATATTTTATTATTGTAACTTATAAGATCTGGTACTAACATTTAAATTGTTTTATGAATGATATAATTTCCAGAAAGCTCTTTAAAAATTTGAGAGCTTTTCAGACTTCCTTACTTAGACCAATATATAATATTTATCCTTGACAGGATTTATTTCTTCTTCTCTTCATTAAATGCTTCTTGCACTTGGTTCTTTACTTCAGCAATAATATTATCTTCAGACAAATATTTGCACACAATTAGGTCATTGCCAACATTGATAAAATTTTCAAATGATGCTTTTTCATCACTAATGCACCACTGTAACCAGGTAGAGGAACCATTTGTAATGAAAAAATTAATAAAAATGCTGAATATAAGAAAACTAATTTAATTGCAAAGTTCACTACTGATTTAGTAATTTATATAATTTATCAATCAAACAATAATTTAATCAAAAATATCAAGTTCACTCCAAACTCGTATGATTCATCTTCAATAACATGCAGCTTTTTTGTACAATAAACTTTATCATAATTTAAAATTTTGAATGTTAACCTGATCTAAAGCTTTTATCAAAAGAAGATGCTATTGGTAAAAATTGAACTGTTATAGCTTACAAAGTGAAATTATTGAATGCTCACTACAAATATCAATAAAAAGTACACTATAATTTTTCTGTTTCAACAATTTATTTATTTATTTCAATCACATTAGGAAAAGTCTTAGAACAATAGATTTCCACCCCTAGTTAACATGATTGTAGAAATATCTAACTTTTTCAGCCAGTTACAAAAAGTTTTGAAATCTGTGCTTTCTTATTTGCTGTATATTGTATAAGTATAATGTTTTGATATTGCAGAAACATCAAGCTTTAAAGATTTTTTTCATAATAATGATGGCAGTTTTTCATTACCTGTCATGTTCATGTTTGCTCCCAAGAGTTACATTGTTTGTATTTTTTACCTCTGTGACATGTAGGGATGTCTCGATACCATTTGTACATGTGTAAAGTAAATATACAGGAATAATACAAGAATAATAATTCAAAAATGTAAAAATGAAAGTATCGATACCAGTATCATGAGTAGTTTTAAAGTATCAATACTGGTATTGGTATCCATACCAGCCAGTATTGGCATCAGGTAACAAAATGAAAATCTTGCCATCTGTCACTATTCAGTTTGTTACGTCACCTTCCAGTTGTTTTTACTGCTGGGAAGGTACACCTATCCTTCTTTTTTAGCTCAGTGGATATGTTTCAAAGAATGCTGTATATAAAAAATCATATAAAAATTGTACAGTACATGCATCCTGTAGAAAAATGCTTAATAGGATCCACAACTTCAATGTAATAAAAAAAAATAAGCAATTTATAAAAGAAACATGAGCTTTTTTATTCTAACATCATTTATCATTAACATTATTTGTAAATATATTCATAAAATTTAAAACAATGGGATCAGTAATAATCTTAAAATTTGGAGACATCACTGATGAGGCTTTACTGTAAGTGAAATGCATTTGGATTTTGTGAACTCAATGAAAATAGAGTTATTGGTAATTGAAGTTTAGTATTTCTTCATTATTTGTTTGTCTGCTTAACTGAATCACTCGAAGTCGGATAAGAAAGAGTAATTTTACTTGTTTTTAATCTGGAAATAATCTTATTTATTTTTAGAATTTACAAATTTTAACATCATTTGTATGTAAATATAGTAAACACAAGGTAGCGTAGGAAACATAAAATCAACATACAGCATTCTATTATGTACTATACTGTGCTTAAGAAAGGAAAATTAACTCTTGATTTCATCAATTTTAACAAAAAGTTAAATTTAAACATTTTCAAATAAACTATTTTTTCCCATATAAAAAAATCAATTGTGTAAAAATTGGATTAGTTTTCTTTTGTTGACCAAGTTATTTCAAAATCGCATAAGGATGAACCATGTAAAAAGAGCGATAGGTGTACTGTACTCATTACAATGAATGCTGAGTAAGCCCCAGAGCAGCAAATATTTTGTTGCTTACTCCAGGGAATTAAATTCTGGTTGTCTGGTTCAGAAGTCAGTGCATCAGTAAGTACTTCAGTTTACACTCATATGACATCTTATGTACACAAAAGAAGCCCCAGATCCACAGTCATGTTAATGGTCTCTGTGCATACTACTATAATATACATGGAATAGGAGTGGATAAGAAATTATTGGTGAAGAGGTAAAACTGCCTTTACATTGAAAGTTCTTTATTGTGTTAAAATTTTATAAATGTCAGTGTAAACGAGTAAATACAAACTGTAGCTCATTTTAAACATCACTGATGGTCCGGGTTGATTAACGAACAAAAGTACTGCATAATGTTTAACTAAATATCTATTTATAAATAGTAATCAGAACTCTAAGCATACCAGTATATAGATTTTGGAAATTAAATTTGACCTAATACATTTATTGAATTTTGGTCATTAATATTTTTTATATAAGTTTAACTTAACTGAAAATTATTAAAATTCNATTGTCTATTCTATCCAATTTTTACTAGATTTGTCACAACAGTCAACACAGAAGACAATTCTTACTTCAGGTAATATCCTTTATTTAAATTGAAATGCATTTCAGACTTTTAATCCCTCTTGTCGATTTAAATAAAGGATATTACATGAAGTAAGAATTGTCTTATGTGTCAGTGGTTATGACAAATCTAGTAAAAATTTGGATAGAATAGCCAATCACAAAAATGATAATGAATTCTACTAGATACAAAGCAAACAACAATATAACTATGTTATTTATGAAAATTGAAATTTCTTTCAAAATAATACTAATACATTTGTAATGATCATGTTTTCAGTTTAGAAAACATTAGTCAAAGATCTATCTAAATAATCTTCAAGTAAGAAGACAACACTAAATGATATTTTATACTTTCTTATGATGTTTATTTACATAAAACAAACCTCTACATTTTAGAGTTTAAAAAATGTATGCAAATAATAACAATGGTAATGGCATTGTGTTTAGTTCCAGTTTCATCAGCAGGATGGGAGAAGTAGAATTACAATATTAGTAGTTTTTAATCAATGATTATTTTATAGCTTTTAATTTTATATTAATGTAAAAAATGATGAATTTGTAACATTAAATTAAATAATGATTATTACATCTGATCTTTTAACCGTTAAAATTAGAAGCTCTAAAACTATGGTAAACAGAAGCAAAACAAAATGAAAGCTCTCCAGAATATGTTAAGTTTGTTGACCAAATAACTGAGGTGGTTGAGGTGTCAGACTACCACTCTGGTGGACCCTGGATCAAATCAGGGGAAGTAATCCAAGTTTTTCATGGGCAGTTCATCCCAAATGTGTCAGACTCCATTCCTGATCAACTGGTTGCTCCCTTTGTGGGCCTGGCCAAACTCACAATCGGTATGAAATGAAAGCTTATTCATGCCAATTTCATGAAATTGGCATGAATAAGCTTTCGTTTCATATCGATATTCATGCCAATTTCATGAAATTGGCATGAATATTGTCAATTTTATGAAATCAGAATATCAACTATTTTTCACGAATAATGCAAATTTTTGCCTACTTCATTAAATTAGCAACATTCCAAGATTTGGCATAACATACAAGGGGGTTTCAATAAGTAATGCCTTTTATTTTTTTAAGCAAAAGTTTTAATGCATATGGAAAGTACAGAATATATGATATGAAATGTGTGGATAAGGCTGCTACTTGACATAGGAACCATTCAAGTTCAAGCACTTGTCCCAGTGGTGTACCAGCTTGAGGATGCCTGCATTGTATAACACCAATTCCTGGCCATACAACCATCCACAAACAGCTGATTTATCCTCCTTGTCAGAATGGAAGCTCTCTCCAGCCAGGAATTTATTCAAAGGACCCAACAAGTGGAAATTGTTCGGGACTGTATGGGGGGGTGATGCAGACTTTCCCATCCAAAGGATACAATGAGGTCATGGACTTTTGTCGAAGCATATGGGTGGGCATTATCGTGAAGAAGTCAAATATCATGTGCTTGCAAGTGTGGTCTCTTGTCATGGACATTCATTACAGGCACTTCAGGGTTTTGCAGTAACTGTCAGAATTCACAGTTTTTCCATAAGGGAG